TATTTATATATCCATTCATTTGTATTGATTTGTTCAGCGTTCTCAGATTAGTTTTATTATTTCTACTCTCCTCCACGCCAATAAAACTGTTTCTTTATATTATTATTGTTCTTATTATTATTATTATTTTTGTTGTTGTTGTTGTCGTCGTTGTTGCTGTTGTTTTTGTGTGTGTTGTTGTTGCTATTATAATATTATATCATCTATACATCGGTGCACATAAATTTATACCAATGCACACATAAATACATAAACATAAACACACACACATACACACACACACATGTACGCATACGTAAACATACATACATGCATAATACACACGCATTCATTCATGCACACATACACACACGCGTGCAACGCACATGCATACATGATGTGACGATAGGATGACGATGAGAAAAATGATAACAATGACGAAAGTTGCAACAAATGTTTAACGTAGCGCCGGTACTGATGATGATGAATTTGATAATTATTATTATTATTATTATTTTATTATTATTATTATTATTATTTTATTATTATTATTATTATTTTATTATTATTATTATTATTATTATTATTTTATTATTATTATTATTTTATTATTATTTTTATAGTTTCGAGCGATATAATTGCAAGTGGTCGTTCGGTCGCCGTCCCTGTTAATCATCGTCAATCATATTCAAGTAATTGTTTCTAACTCACTCACTATCTCACTTTCTCTTTTTCTTTCATTCTTTCGTTTTTTCGTTCGTTCATTCATTCATTTCCTCTTACTCCCTCCTCCTTTATTTTTTTGTGCCCTCCATTATCTCTCTTTTTCTCTTTCTCTTTCTCTCTCTCTTACATTTTTTTTTCATGTTACAATCACTTTGCAATTTTTGTTTTTCTTCTTTCTTTTTCACTTTTTCTCTCTCTCTATTTCTATTTTTCTCTTTTTCTCTTTCTCCATCTCTCTCTATCTCTTTGTCTCTCTATTATTTCCATGTTTTAACTGTTTATTCATTTTCATACTTTTTAAAATTTCTTTCATTCAACCAATCCATTACCTTTTCGATTGTTGGTTAAATTTGTATCTTCCGTTATTTACACGACTTTTTTATTAATTTTATTTCCTAATCCAATTTTCTGTCCAGTCATGCCCAAACACTTTTGTATGTTTGCTCTCAACGTTTTCTTGTGTTTGTATGTGCATGTATCTGTTTGTATGTGTTTGTATGTGCATGTATGTATTTGTATGTGCATGTATGTGTTTGTATGTGCATGTATGTGTTTGTATGTGCATGTATGTGTTTGTATGTGCATGTATGTGTTTGTATGTGCATGTATGTGTTTGTATGTGCATGTATGTGTTTGTATGTGCATGTATGTGTTTGTATGTGCATGTATGTGTTTGTATGTGCTTGTGTATTTTTGTACACATTTGTATGCGTTTGCATGCGTATTACTGCATGCTTGAGTGTATTTTTGTATGGTTGAAATTTGAATGGACACAAATGGACACACAGCCACACACAGTCACACACAGACACACACAGATACACGCACGCACACACACAGACATATCAACACAAAGATTGAAGCATGCTTGCGCTGAGTACCTACCCCTCACTATGTCCGATTGAACAGTTTTTAATATCATTAATAACGCAGTCGGAATTTTTGATTGATTAAATCTCATTTACTTTTGTTTGCCGCTTAATTCATGTCCTCCCGTCAGCAAGTTTACACACGTACGCGCAAATGTACAAATGAACGTTGTACATACATGCAATTGTACATTTGTTCATATATACACACACTAAAACATACAAAAACTATTCTTTTTTTATTGTTTCTTTGGGTGTGGTGTGTATGTAATATAATGTGTGCTGTGTGTGAGTGTGTGGTGTGTGTGTGTGCGAGCGTGCGTCGTGTCTGTGCGTATGTATGCAAAATCACAAAAATTCCAATTTCAGTCAAATTTATTGATTTATTGTGTTTATAAACAATGTGTTTCTGTTGCAGTTTATGTGTAAAAGTGTGTATTTGCGCTGTGTGTGCGTGTTTGTGTGCATGTGAGTGTTCGTGTGTGCCTGTGTGTGTGTGTGTTCGTGTGTGCCTGTGTGTGTGTGTGTGTTCGTGTGTGCGCGCGTGTGTTTGTTTGTGATTATGTGAGATCATGAAAAAGTGATTCGCAGAAAAATGTTAGCAGAGGTTTGTGGGGATTGTTTCCCTTTTTTATACATGATGTCACCACATTACTTTTTGTTGTTTTGCTGTTGTTGTTTTGTTTTCTGACGTTGTTGTAGTTGTTTTTGTTGTTGTTTTCGTACAATAAAATAATTTTGGTACATTAAAAAAAAAACAGTTTAACGAGTTTGTATTCCTGTTAAAATTTTTTTAAATAAAAATTACCACTGAAACAATTTTTCAATAACACAGCAGAACTCTGCAGAAACTCTACTTAACCCCGTGTGATAATAGTATAATTTATTTTTCAAATTTTATAAAAAAGTTTCAAAAAATTTAAAGTGGCATATTTTTAACGGGAGATTATGCGTGCAAAATGATAACCATTAGCATACCTATTGAATTTACTGAAATGTGAGTCATTTTGAATGACGTCAGAATCTATGGGACTTTGTACTTTGTATGACTGATTGGTTTTTTTTTGTTTTGCATGTTTGTTTGTTTGTTCGTTCGTTTGTATTTGTGTTTGTTTTTTGTTTGCTTATTTGTTAGTTTAACTGTATGTTAGTATGGTCAAATTTATGTTCATCTGTTTGTATAATGGTTTTTTGGTTTGTATTTTGCAAGACTTCATGTATGTTTGTTAGAATGTTTGGATATGTTTGTATGTTTGTTAGAATGTTTGTTAGAATGTTTGGATATGTTTGTATGTTTGTTAGAATGTTTGGATATGTTTGTATGTTTGTTAGAATGTTTGGATATGTTTGTATGTTTGTTTGAATGTTTGTATGATTGTACGTTTGCATGTTTGTATGTTGTATGTACGGCATTCAAGAGCATCTTGTTATGAAAATGTTGAGGTTTGTTTGCACGGACTCAGCCACAACGCGAACCTTCGTTCAGTGTGTCCAAATATCATTAACATCATATACCTCACTCTCTAGTAATGACGTCATCATAAATCGTCATCATCATCGTCATCATCATCATCGTCATCATCTTCATCATCAACATCATCATCGTCATCATCATCATAATCAACATCAGCTGCAACTTCAATATCATCATCATTCAATTACCATCATCGTCTTCATCACGATCAACATGATCATTACCATCAGCATCAGTTTCAATATCATCATCATCATTATCATCATCATCATTATCATCATCATCATTTTATCACCATCATCATTCTCGGACCAATCATGGCCGACGATAGCATCAATTGAAGGAGAAAAATAAAATGAAAACAGGAATGAAACAATAAATCATATGAGGCGTGTGTGCGTGTGCGTGCGTATGTGTGTGTCTTTGTGTGTGTGTATGTGTGTGTATGTGTGTGTCTTTGTGTGTGTGTGTGTGTTTTTGTATTTGTATGTGTCTTTGTGTTTGTGCGTGTGTGTGTATGTGTGTGTTGAGTGTGTTTGTGTTTATGTATGTGAGATGTGTGTATGTGCGTGTTAGAGGGAATGACGCCACAATAGGCAACATACAGCAACAATGTTTCGTCAACATCGATAACACT